TCTCTCTCTCTCTCTGTCTCTCTCTCTCTCTGTCTCTCTCTCTCTCTGCCTCTTTCTCTCACTGCGCCTCTCTCGCTCACTCCGTCTCTCTCACACTGCCTCTCTCTCTCTCATGGAATAAATAAATAAATAAACTAGGGACAAGCAGACGCCATAATCGTTACGTCGCTGGACTCCCATGTTGTAGACTGTGGTTCGAGTCCCAGATCTGGTGGCTTAAAACTCATGCCAGGCGCATGTGAGCACTTGCTCAAAAATTGGAGAGAACAGAGGAGAAGGGATTGCAGCATGGCCATGCCCCTGGGGAGTGATTTCTCACCATCTCTCTGGAGAGCACAAAAACCTATAGCAAAGACCTCTCTTAAAAAAATCAATCAATCAATTAATTAATTAATTAAGAAGGCTGAATAAACAAGCCAGGCAGAAGTGGACAAACGGACTCCACGGCTAATGGGCACGCAGGTCACATGTACAGGGAGGCCTTGGACACAAATCTGGACTTTCCTGTAGGGCCACCACATGGAGCTGCCCCTGGGCCACCATGAGGAGCCAGTGCTGCTGCGCCCCTGGGCCACCACGAGGAGCCCTCCGTGCTGCTGCGCCCCTGGGCTACCACGAGGAGCCAGTGCTGCTGCGCCCCTGGGCCACCACGAGGAGCCCTCTGTGCTGCTGCGCCCAAGCCTGGCCTCTGTGTTTTACTGACTAGACTGTTGAGATGAAAAGCCGGGGTACCGACTGTCTGAAGAGCTCACGGCTCACTTGGCGAGGACGGCAGCAGCACGCCTCCATTTCTAGCTGCATGAAATGCCTGGGACCTCAGAGGGCACTGCACCATGACCTCGGAGACAGCCAGGCCAACTGAGAAACAGACAACTGACACGTCTCCCAGCCAGGGAAGGCGGCAGGGAGAGCTGTCCGTCAGATGTTCAGACCCAGCCAGGATGCAGAGCTCTGTGGCCACGCAGCTGCAGAGCGGGCACCGAGCGCTCAGCCTCATCCTCACCTCCGTCTGGTAGGTGTCGTGCAGGTACCCTGGCCCGCTGGAGTGGAACCGGCACCTCCCCATGCTGAGCGGCCTCGGTTCCTAGAGAAAGACCAACACAGTGGGATGTGAGCGTCACCGCCCTCGGCAGCAGCCACCAGCATTTTCGGACCTGTCAGCCTGAGCTCCAGGGACAGAGGCCAGAGCAGGCAGGGGAGCAGGGTCTTGGAGCAGCTGCGCGTGGTCTGGGAGGCAGCGAGGGAAACCCCAGGGCGGCAGCAGCAGCCACTGCCTACTCAGGCTGGGCTACAGCTCCATCAGCCCACACAGAGGAGCAGGAGGGTGGGTGCTTCGCCTTTTGAGGGGCATCCTACAAATTTACGGCACAGATGTCCTGGCTCCTGCCTGCTTCTCTTAAAAGCAACATTTTTTTCCTACTAGAAAGGAAGTAGGAAAGATTTCAGACTAGCGCCCTCATCCCGCCACCCACTCATCCACTCATGCAGTCCTTCAGTACTCGGCAACCAGCCAGTGAGTCATCCCCATCCATCGTCCGTTTATCCATCCACCTATCCCCATCCATCATGTGTCTGTCCATCTACCCATAGGTCTGTCTCTATCCCTCATTCATCCATCCACCCACCCATCCGCCCATCCCCATCCATCCATGCATCTGTCCCCATCCATCATGTATCCACCCATCCACCCACTCACCCATCCATCTATGCCGATTTCTCACTTTCCCTCCCACTGTCTCTGTCTCTCTCCCTTCCATACACCCATTTGGCCATCTATCTTTCCTTCCATCCACCATCCATCCCTCTCGTCTATCCCCATCCATCACGCGTCTGTCCATCCATTCATAGATCTGTCTCCATCCATCATCCACTCACTCGTCCATCAACCCATCCACCCCTCATGCACCCACCCATACATCCCATCCATCCCCATCCATCATCTGTCTATCCATCTAGCCCACCCACCCATGTACCCATCTGTACACCCATCCATCCACCCATCCACCATTCTTCCACCCGTCCGCCCATCCATCATCCATCATCCATCTATCAATCTATCTAGCCTCATTAATCATCTTTCTATACATCTATCTATAGGTCTATACCTATCCATCATCCAATCATCCATCCATCCACCCATCCATCCATCTTTCCTTCCACCTATCCATCCCCATCCATTGTCCATCTATCCATCCATCCCCAACCATCATTCATCTATTCATCTACCCATACCCATCTACCATCCATTCTTCCATCCATGCAACCATTCAACCAAATACCTACCAATGCCCTATCCAACTGTTCATCTCCATCTTCAACAATCTCGCAGCAGACACAGTGCCACGTTCTGAGGATACCACAGTGAGACACAGTTCTTACCCTTGGAACTTACGGACTAGTAAGGAGACAAACCAATAAGCTGACAGCTACAGTGGACAGCAAAGCTGGCACAAAACTATGTCTTAGAGAGTGCTAGGACCTGGGCCTGGGTCTCGTTATTACTGTGCCTGGTGCACTGCTCAGAGCTCTCCAACTCCGGATCTGAGAAAACATGAAAACCAGAGCCACACTAGCAGTAGCAGAGGACTGCCTCTTGCTCAGCTGTTTGGGTGGGAGCAGTGGATGGAGTGCTACCTCATGGCAGCCGGCTCCAGGGGACGCCCTGCTGGGAGGGCAGAAGGAATGCGTCTCTTTGCGGTCATGTCCCTGGCCACAGGCAGCACACGCAGCCATGCGCAGCAGCACCAGGGGTGATGAGCGGCTAGAGGGGTGCTGGGAGGGTGGGGAGCTGCAGTACGGGGCTTCTGAAGGTGCTTCAGGCCCTGCGTGGAGACTGGGAGCTTACAATGCCTCAGCCTCCCCGTGGGCGTCCAGTGGACTGATCGCATGGCTGTGCTGTGACAGCACAGCACTGGCTTCCCCCAGGCAGGGCAGCCTGCAGCCAGTGCAGGAGGGTCGTGGGTCCCAACCTGACCAGGGAGGTCAGGGGAGCCCACACTGGGGCCCCTGGAAAAGGCTCCTCTGCTGTTGAATGAGTCGGAGTGAGGTGACGCGTCTCCTGCTCCAGCCAGCACACCATGCCTGGTCTTCCCAAGGGGGAATGAGATGCTGCCTTAATGAGCCAGCCCGGCGGACTTGATAGAAAAGTGGCAGCTGGGTCCCAGCCAGGGGCGAGCACACCGGAAATTCCCATGGGGTGGACAGAAACACTGCACAGGAGGGTCGAAGGCTCCCACACTGAACTTGCCACGGCGGAGTAAGGACAGAGCTGCCGGAACCCTGTGGCTCCCATGTGCCGGAGCGGCTCCTGCTGGTGTCTGGTCTGGGTCCCTGGTCCCAACACCCAGACTCTCCAGAGTGACAAGGCTCTTCCATGTGGCGTGAGATGACAGGGACGTAGCTCCTGTGCGCCGTGGGGAGGGGCACCAGCCAGATCTTCAGGTGGGATACTCGGCCCCTCCTGGCCAGCCTCCAGGAACAGGGATGGGCTGGAGGCCAAGCCAGTCGCCAGGGGCCCGCGATTCAGTCAGCGGGTTTGGAAGTCGTGGATTGGGGAGCCCACTCCAGAGCCAGGGGGACAGAAGTGTGAGTCCCTCCCAAGCCCCACCTCACCTCCTGCAGCACCTTCACCCCCAAATCCCCAGACGTGAGCTGTTCACGAGGCAGTGACGCCAGCCCCTCAGTCTGTGGCCCAGCTGGTCAGAAGTGGCAAAAGCCCCAGACCCTGCTGCATCTGAAGTGGGTAGGGGGGACCGTGCCCTGGCTCTGGATGGGCAGAGGCGGAAGTGGGCTGGGGTGGGCTGTGGGCAGGAGCACCAGGAGGGTGTGGGGTCAGAGCAGGGCTCGCCGGAGACATGGCACATCCTCCGGCAGGACTGGGCCTGGCCCAGGGTGACAGCTGTTAGGAGCCAGCCTCATGGTGACCAAGGCCCTCTCAGGCTGCACTGGGCCCTGGCCCTGTCCCACAGGCCTCGGCACTGGTGACCCAGCTCACCATCTGCTTCCCAAGAGGCCGACCAGACAGGTGGTGGGCGCAACCCCGGGGACCGTCGTGTGCAGGTGACAAAGCCTCGTCCCTGGGGCAGACACCGCAGCTGGGGACACGCTCTATGGGACACTGACGATGCTGGGGGTGGGGGGGCGTCACCACACCGGCCTGGCCTGAGCTCGGCCTGTCTCTGGGGCTGTTCTACCCATCGGCTTGGGCGCCGCCCTCACTGCTGGGGTGACACAGAATGCACGACGCAGCGTGAACTGGGACTTCTCATGGCCTTTCCCAGCATAGACACCCCGAGCTGGCTTCCTTTCTGTCTGCGCTTCACCGTCCAGCCAAGAGAGTCTGCATCGGCTCCACCCATGCCCTGTCCCAGCTCAGGCCACACCCAGGCCGCAGGACTGGCAGCAAGGTCACCGTCTGGCTGACAGTGCGGCTTGACTCCCCTGCGGATGCTCAGGAAGGGCTCCCTGTGTGAGAAGCAGGGCCGGATGCAGAGCGACTCCTCTCAGCGTGAGCAGAGATCACGGACGGCACTGCACCCTTCGGGGGATCACCGCCGCAGTTTGTGCCCGGCCAGGGGGTGGCCAGCCAGTCTCAGGGCACAGGAGAGCGCCACACACACGCACACTTGTCACACGTCTGCTCTTACACCCGAACACGCATACATGTGTGTACACGTGTACACAGGCGCACATGTACCTACTCATGTGCGTGCATAGCTGGTCCTACAAGTCTGCTCTCAGGACACAGGAGAGCGCCACACACACACACACACACACACACACACACACACTTGTCACACGTCTGCTCTTACACCCGAACACACATACATGTGTGTACACACATGCACAGGCGCACATGTACCTACTCACATGCACACACAGCTGGTCCTACAAGTCTGCTCTCAGGACACAGGAGAGCGCCACACACACACAAACATGCACACACACTTATCACAAGTCTGCTCTTACACACACCGGGTCACACATACGTGTGTGCACACGTGCACAGGTGCATATATACATATTCACATGCACACACACAGCCGGTCCTGCAAGTCTGCTCTCGGCACAGGAGAGTGTCATGCACATACACACACATGCACACTTGTCACACGCTGCTCTTACGCACACCTGAACACACATGCATGTATACATGTGCACATGTACCTAATCACACGCACACATGTACACACAGGCATTTCTGTACGGGACGCAGCTGTGAACAGGTGAACAGACTGTACTCACGAGGTGCCGAGCTGCAAACACGCCATCCACAACTGCACAGCAGAAGGCCGCCACCACGCCGAAGCTGATGAACACGATGGCAGCCCCC